TTGACACCCAGGCATTCATTCCTGCCTGTGGCAGGGGGTCAGGCTAGATGATCTGTTCAGGTCCCTCCTGACCCTAGTTACTATGGAACTATGAATCATAGAAAATGAGGGTTGGAAGGAACCTCAGGAGGTCACATCTACTCAAAACACCTGCTCAAATCAGGACCAGCCCAACTAGATCATCCCAGCCAAGGCTTTGTCTAGCCAGGTCTTCAAAACGTCCAGTGATGAAGGCTCTACCACCTCTCTTGTTAGCTTGTGCCAGTGCTTTACTACCTTTCTCATGAGAGAGCTTTTCCTAATATCTAACAGGGCCACAGTTCTTGGAGATCCCACTCTGACACCATGCACAAGTGAACTGTTTTCTGGCTGAAGGGTGAGAAAGTGTCAGGTCTGTTCCAAAGCCCATGGAGGGTGAAAGGGGAGGTCACTTGGCTGTAGGTTGGAGCCCAAGGGTGCATCTTGGGGAGATTAGAAGGAGTAGGCCATAGAGGCTCAGAAAGACAAGGGGAGCAGAGAACATTGGAGGCTGTTGTGGCCTGAACAGTCTGAGGGAGGGAAGTGATGGGACATGGATACAGGCAGAGAAGCTTGATCCTGCTTCAAGCAGGGGGCTGGACTGGATGTGATTTCTGGAGGTCTCTTCCAGCCTGGCCTTGCTCTGTTTCTATGACCCTGACCCCTCTGCTTTCTCTGTCAGACTATAACTATGATATACTCAACTTCATCAAGGGCTGCACAACACCCTCCACCTGTACCATGTTAGCATGAAGCAAACTGGCCTTCACTGAGCTGGGTGTAAACCTCACCCATTTCACATGTTTGCAAGTCTTCCTCAAGGATAGGGCAGCCTCAGGACCTTCCAGCATACTGTGACCACCCCTCACTAGGCTTCTCTTGGTGAAGATCCTGTCCTGATCCCTTCCCAACACAACAGTGCCAGCCCTGAGTCTCCCTTCTGCAGCTGACACTTGCCTGGTGCTCTCAGTCTCTACCCCCATTTGCACTTCTTTTTTTTTTAAATAAAGCCAGTCTATAGACAATGCTTCTAAAATCTCTTCCTTGTTCTTGTCTTTGGGTGGCCAGGAAAAGGGTTTCAATGCCGGGAAAGGGAATTCCGGAGGTCACCATTTTGAAGAAGCTATTTGTGTTCATGGGATAGGGATTGGGCTTCTAGCACAGCTGGAAACCAGGCCTCATGGTTTCTATCCCTGGATCTGGGAGGGACTGCAGACTCTAGTGGGATAGGGAAGGTAGGGCTGGGAACCAGGACTCCTGGGTTCTACCCCTGGCTCTGGGAGGCCCCTCCCAACCCAACTATCAGGGTCTGCATGGATACCTCACACCACCCCAACCTGACATGGCTTCATCTCCTCCCTACCCCCACTGCTTAGCAGCTCAGACCTGGGATTGCACCAGAAGCAGGCCCCCGCACCACTGAGGAAACCACATTGGTTCCTCTTCCTGCACCCGTTAGTTTGGAGTTCTTCCTGTTAGGAAGCGAAGCATTCCAACACCGGTCACTTGGTCCCTGTGGGGAGAGAGTCCTGAATCGTCTTGATCTCTGTTCCCTGGAGGTAAGCTTTATAGCATAGCCTGTCCTGGGGAATCTCATGGGGGACAGCTGTGATGATACATGTGTCTTTGGCCAGCCTGTCAGTGAGGGACTCTAACTCATGTCACTTCATACAAAGTGCCATGAGTTAGACTACCACCAAACCCAACAGACATTGAATTATTGGGTGGGGTTCTAGACCCTGTTGGACCTCCCCACTCCCACCTTTACCCCACCCCAGCTCCAGCTAAGCTAGCAGCTATGTGTTGCCCCTGCCAAAAGGCTCAGGTGGAAAGGCTCCCCAGCCCCTTGTAAGCCCCCATCAGTACCCTATCTGGGGTATCTGGGGGACTCGTGGTAGGAGGCTCTGTTACCCTACCTCCCATCCAAGCCTCTTGACAGCAGAGCACAGTTTCTGGGGCAGCCAGAGCTGGGGGGATGGAAATTGGGAAGGGGGGATTGAACCCCCTCACCTCATGGGCTCAGGATGGCTCCTCCTCCAAGACCCCAGCAGGGATACCTTCCCCCACTGCACAGGAAGGAAACTTTTTCCTCTCTGTGACAGCCCTACAAAGGCACATGGGATATGGGCAATATCACCTGAAGTGAACTCTCGCAGGGAACCTGAACAGAAGTTCCTTGAGGCACTCTGCCCTAGAGCACCTTCAGCTAATAGTTGATTGAATGAGGGTTAATTGTTAGTGTGATCGGTCATTTTTAATAGAATGAATGTGTGTTGTGTCACAGCTGTAGACCACTTTCAGGGCCCAATCACAGGAAAGATGTAGCTTGTGTGATACCAGACCCCTGTGTGATCCTCTTGATGTCCTTCCAGGATTCACTGGTCAGAGTGTTTTGCTGTATCAAAGATCAGCCCCCCACCAGAGCACCAGGCCACCCTTGGCTTCTGTGATGAAGGCCACTGTTGCCTACCTCCTCCTTCTCCTCTCTGCTCTCCTGGCTGCAGGTGAGGGGCACCGTTCCCTAGTGCAACTCGTCTCTGTATGAAATGCCCAGTGCTGAGTTGGGGCTCCATTGCCCCATTGAAGTCAAAGAGGCCAAGTCCCCAGCAGCCCTCAGTGGCTCTGAGCTGTCCTGCAGGGATTCCCTTTAGTTCAGGGTCAAGGGACTGGGAGGTGACAGGGGAGTGGGGCTAGGGCTGGGGCTTCCTGTACAAGCCTGGAGTCAGGAAGGGGCCTGATCCTGATGGAGCTTTTTCTCTTCCCCTCTCCAGGGACTTGCCTGCAGTGTGAGGTTTGCTTAGGTCTAGGCATGAACTGCAGTGGCTCAATACAGGAGTGCAATACTGGAGAAAATACCTGCTTCCATGCACTGATAGAATCATCTACCAATGGTGAGTCTGATGTTTAAATGGCATTTGAATAAGAGCCAGCTTTGAGAGCCCAGGTTCCCTGGGTTCTCTCCCAGCTTTGAGAATGGAGTGGAGCCTGGGGGGTTAGAGCAGGGAGAGCTGGGACCCCAGTTCTCTCCCCTCTTTTGGAGGGCAGTGGAGATCAGGGGCTCAGAGTTAGGAGAAGCAGGGGAGGTGGAATGCTGAACCCCTGGGTACTACTCTGGGGTCTATGTGACCTCAGGTACATCCAAACTTCTTGTTTCTCCCGTTGTTTCCCGTCCAGGAGAGGATGTGGAAGGGACCTTCTCTGTTCAGAGCAGGGATTGGGTGGAAATGCCAGAGGGGCTCAATTCCCGTCTTCTCCATTATAGGCCAAAAGAAGTCCATCCAGGCTATCAGGGGCTGCGTGACCTCCCGTGTCTGTGGATGGAGTCCAGCCATCTTTCATTCTGAAGTGAAATATAAGGTAGCCTTCACCTGCTGCACTGGGGACTCCTGCAGGACCACCTTCCCACAATGTAGGTATTCGTGTCCCTGCTCCCCCAGCCCTCAGCTCCATTTTCTCCTGCCATGGGTCCACCTCCATCCTGGAGGAGAAGACACTCGGAGCCTATCACAGGAAGCTAGGTGGCTCCTGTTACTTTAAGAGGAAAGTAGAGCTGACTGAGCTGGAGAGGGTGGGGGGGATTGCTATTTGCTAATGAGCAGGCTGCCAGCAAGCAGAAAGACGGGTGGGCCCACCTAGAGGTCCACACTGGGAGGATAGGGAGGGAAGACAGAGCATTGAACTGCATTATGGAAGACAGGGAAGCAGTCCAATAGTAAAAGGCTGCAGGCTGCTAAGCTAAGTCCTCATAGGGCAGGGCAGGAGGGTCATCAGGGGCAGGAGAGGGACACCTGCAAACATCTTCCAAGTCACATGACCGGATGTGCAAGGCTTAGGAGAGACATAAAGTCAAAGCCTGAGATCAGTTTGGCTCTGCAAGCTGAAGAGGTAAGGACACCGGAGCAGGAAGGCCGAAGGAGACCACCTGGCTGATATGAGATGCCTTGAGCTCTGCAACCAAGATGCCCACAGCTTGCAGAGCAGTGATGCTCAGTATGGGTATGGAGCTTGGTGGTCCAGCTCAGGAGCTTCAGTTATGGTGAAACTCAGTGTGGGGACAGTTTCATTACATCCAGAGGTTTCCTGATTGCCTTGTGGTTTATACCGGTGGTTTGGGCGTGGAGGAAAGGGAAGCGTGAGGAGGTTATGGCAGGGAACCAAAGGGCTGCATTGTGGGCTAATTCACTGTGTTTTGTATAGATACCCTGGCATTTTGAGCTTTTCTAGGGGCTTTGGTTTTGGTCACTGTAGGCTCCAGCATGAGGGGCAGGCTGAATCCTTGAGACAGCCTAAGAGGGGAGTTGTAGCCTGATAGAATCATAGTAAGTTAGGGCTGGAAGGGACCTCAGGAGGTCGCATCTCGTCCAACCCCCTGCTCAAAGCAGGGCCATCCCCAACTAGATCATCCCAGCCAAAGCTTTGACTAGCCGGGTTTTGAAAATCTCCAAGGATGCAGCTTCCACCATCTCTCTGGGTAGCCTGTTCCAGTGCTTTAATATCCTTCTTGTCAGAAAATTCTTCCTGATATCCAACCTAAACTTCCCTTGCTGCAACTGGAGACTGTTGCTCCTTGTCCTATCATCTGCCCCTGCTGAGAACAGTCCAGCTCCATTCTCTTTCAAACTCCTCTTCAGAAAGTTGCACCAGTGCTGGAGGCTTGCATTCAGAAGGACCAAGGCCCCAGCAAGGGAGTGATTGTGCAGTGACAGCTGCAAGGCATGGTTGTGGTATAAGGGGCAGTTGGAGGCATGCAATAAGTCCTAAAGTTGCAGAGTAATTAGACCACAGATCAGGAGGGGATGAAACCTTGCTCAGGGATCCTGAAGGCAGTCTTCCTTTTCTAAGTACTTACTTACATCAAGGTGTGGCAGGTGAGAAGGGGAGAGTGCTTAAAGGACTGAGGACACAACAGGAGCAGGGTGACCCCCAGGGGGCATCATGGCCACCCCTGGGGTCTTCACCTATTCCAGTACCTCTTTGCTTGGACCCTTCCAGCCCCCATTGAGTCTCCTTGGGTCCCTGGGGTGGGTGGTATTCTACTTGGAGGTGGTTGGTCTCCCACTCATTGTGCCCCCAGCTGGATAAGAATTGGGGCTTCCACATGGCCCTCAGCATCTCTTCACCCCACAAACCCAGCTGCCCAGCCCCCAGCCTGCCCCATGGACCTCACTGGGAAAGTCCCATGAGCTGAGTGCCCTCACTCTGTTCATTGCAGTGCCTGAAGAGAGCTTCATCCCCAACGGGCTGTACTGCCCCTGTAAACCAAAGGTGGAATCAAATTATTGCAATAACGCATGGTTGGCTTGCACTGAAGAGGAGTCTCAGTGCTTGAACTTCACCGAGACATTGACTTTTGGTAACTCCATGCCCTTCTTTCTCCTGGGGTACAGCAGGTCTGGGGGTTTCCTAGGAGCCAGGCTGCTGGGGTTTTGGAGGGTCTTAGAGGAGGGGAGTGGCAGGGACTGGATATAGTTATGGAAGTGTCTGTAGATCTCCTGACCCTGAACCCTCTCTTTTCTGGACCTGAGGTCTTGCCAAGGTCCAAAACTCCATCACGGGCTGTGCAACACCATCAGCCTGCAACACTGAAGACATGAACAAAAAAATCTTGGAAAAACTTGGTTTCAGCATGGTCCAACACACGTGCACACAAGCCTCCAGATTGCAAAGCTCAGCTCCAGGGAACACCAAGCTTCTTCTCCCAGTCTTCATTGGGCTGATCCTAGCAAGGCTCCTCGCCTGAGCCTCAGTCCATGAGATGGCAACAGAGTCACCAGTCCCTGCTCTGCAACCTCCCTGTACTGGTGCCCTCAGCCTCCTCACAGGTTTGCTTCCCTGATGATTTGTTCCAGGAAATAAAAGGAATCAGGAAAGAGACTTTTTGAGCTGCCTTGTCTCTATTTGCATTTTGGGGGTGGTATTTGCAGGAGGGGGAAGAGGATTCCTCCAGGGGGTGCTCTCGAGGAGATCCTGAGATGCTTAGAGCCTCCTAGCAGTGGTAATTGGCAACACCAGCTGGAGGAACCTCTTATGGGTTCCAGCCATAGCGGGTCTCTCCCTGGCAGTGCCCCCTGCAGGAGGAGGGTTGGGACTGGCATCCAAAAATGGTTGATTATGGGCTATCGGAAAGGGAAAATTTGGGATGGATGAGGAGACATGACCAAGATCTTGCCTCAGAGGAGGCTGCTGTGATGATAGGTCCAGAACAAACTGTTATGCCTCTTGGCACAGACATCAGCTGGCGGGGCACAGGGAGGGCCTTTCTCTCTAGGAATTAAAAGCCTTTGTTTCTCTCAAATAGGGTCTCCCTGAGGAGAAGACAGCCTAAATAGATTGACAGGGGAGAAGGGATTTGTAGGGAGAGTCCTTGCAATTCTCATAGTATTTTAGTGGGGATGGGGACTGTGCCCAGCCTTGCTGGATAAGGAGGTATCTCCTGGTGAAGATCCTGTTCTGAGCCCCTCCCCACACACCAGTGCCATGGCCCCAAATCTCCCCGCTGCAGCCAGCCCCTGCCCGGTGCTTTTGGCCTCAACCCACTAAATTTATTTAAAAGAATAAGAGACTGCATTTATTTAATAGAATAAGAGACAATGAGGGTTGATTGGCCCTCAGGAGGTCACATCAATACAACCTCATGCTCAAAGCAGGACCAGCCCTAATGAGATCATCCCAGCCAGGGCTTTGTCAAGCCAGACCTTTAAAACCTGCAAGGATGGAGATTCCACCATCTCTCTAGGTACCCCTTTCCAGTGCTTCACCACCCTCCTAGTGAGAGAGATTTTCCCAATATCCAATCTTAACTTCCCTTGCTGCAACTGGAGACCCTTGCTCCTCATTCTGTCATCTGCCACACCGAGAACAGTCCAGCTCCAGCCTCTTTTGAACCGCCCTTCAGGGAGTTGAAGGTTGCTATGCAATCCTCCCTCAGTCTTCTCTTCTCCAGACTCAATAAGCCCAGTCATGGGTGACCTGTGCCTCCCGAGTCCTAAGAATCGGGGGGTGGTGCATGCACCAATACAAGGCCTTAAATGCCTCTACACTAAAGCTCATAGCATGGGGAATAAGCAGGAGGAACTCACCCTCCAGATAGCTAGTACAAACCCAGACATAGTAGGGCTCACAGAAACCTGGTGGGATTCATCCCATGACTGGGCGATCAACATTAGGGGCTACAGACTATACAGGCAGGATAGAATGGGGAGGAAAGGCAGGGGTGTGACGCTCTACGTCAAAGAGAAATACACATCCTCAACGACAGGATGGAGTCAGAGGAGGGGCAGGCTGAAGTGTTCTGGGTCAGGATACAGGGGGGTTGTGGAGAAAGGGACTTAATGGTGGGGGTCTACTACAGATCACCCAACCAAGGGGAAGAGCTGGACCACGAATTCTTGGGTCAGCTTGTGGAGGCACTTAAGGCAAGGGATGTAGTCATCATGTGTGATCTAAATTACCTGGACAGCTACTGGGAGGAGCAGTCAGCCAGGTCGGACCACTCACAAAGGTTCCTTACTGAGATACAGGACCTCCATCTAACCCAGGAGGTGCAGTCCCACCAGGGGGAATGACCTGCTGGACCTGGTCCTGACCACAGGTGATGACCTGGTGAGGTAACTCCAGGTCCTTGACCACTTGGGCGATAGCGATCATTGCTTGTTGGGATTCATCATCCAGCGCAGGGTGTCAAGGGCCTGCAACAAGGCAGTAGTCCTTGACTTCAAGAGGGCCAGCTTCAATGAGTTTAGGAGACTGGGAGAAGAGGCACTGGAGTCCTGGAGGGTAGGGGAACTGGGTGTCCAAGATGACTGGTTGTTCCTTAAGGAAACGATCCTCCGAGCCCAAGGGGTGACAGTCCCAACGAGAATCAAAGGGGGAAGGAGTGCTCAAAAGCCTCCCTGGCTCACCAAGGGCATTTGGGAATGCCTGATTGCCAAAAAGGAGGCATACACCCAGTGGAAGGGAGGGGCTATCACCAAAGAGGAGTATACCTCCACCACTCAGGTCTGTAGGGGGGCTGTTAGGAAAGCTAAGGCAGATACGGAACTAGGGTTAGCATCAAGGACAACAAAAATTCCATTTTTAAATACATAGGGAGTATGAAGAAGTCATCGAGACTGTGGATCGAGACCGGTGGTTCCCCATGGCTGCTGCAGCTGCGGGAGCAAAAGTCAATCCTAGGCTTCACACAGTCCCGGGACCCAAAACCAAAAGCAAGAGGCCAACTTGACCATTTCTCAGAAATAGAAGAGGCGGAGTCACTGGCCAGGAGCCAGGACTGGGTGTGCTTACTTAGGGAGCATGAAGAAGGCACTGGGAAATGTGGGGCCCCTGCAGGATATGCTTGGCAAGCTGGTGTTTGCACGAGAGGAGAAAGCAGACCTTTTTAACAATTTATTTGCCTCCATTTTTTGTGCAGGGACCAGGACTCCCCTACTAAGATTCAGGATGGACTCAGGAGAAACTCTGCCAGGCCTAGGGTCAGGGAGGACTGAGTCAGGGAACTTCTGGAGGGGCTGGATGTTTTCAAATCAGCAGGTCCAGATGCTCTCCACCCCAGGGTGCTGAAGGAATTGGCAGGGGCTATCAAGGGGCCCCGGCACAGCTTTATGAGCACTCGAGGTGCTTTGGCAAGGTGCCAGATGACTGGAAGAAGGCCAGCGTGGTCCCCATTTTCTAAAAAGGGAGGACGGGGGCAAACATAGGCCTGTTAGTCTTACTTCAATCCTGGAGAAGCTCTTTGTCTGAGCCCCTGCTATGGCAGGAAAGAGTACTGGAGTCAAACGACCCCGACAAGGTGTTCATCCAGCCTCCTTTTAAAGACCCCCAGGGTAGGAGCCAGCACCACTTCTCTTGGAAGTTGGTTCCAGATCCTAGCCACCCTGAC